GCCCTCGTCCCCGCTCTGCTCCAAAACGGGGTGGGGATTCTCCATCGAAGCTGCCTTTGTGTTCCTACTACCTCCCGCCGTGGCCGCAAGGCAACGGGGCGGATGCGCGGGTTTAGCAGCAGCTGCGCCGAACCGCGTCCCCCACGCCCGCTTGGCGGTGCGCGGTGGTGCGGGTTTTTGCTTGCTCCCCCCTCGTTCCCCGTCGCGGCTGCTGTTCGCTGGCCGTCAGACGAAGGTGGAGGGGCAGATGATTATTTTCCCCGTTCCCGTCCCTCGGGCCCGCTTAGCGGTGCCCGGTGGTGGGTCTGTTGGGGGTGGGGTGGGTTTCTTTGTGCCTCTGCTGCTGGGCTCGCTTGAGCCGGAGGCTACGGTTGCATGGCCCTCTCTCTGTCGCGTCGCAAGCTTCCTGCCTCCCCTCTCGCGTCTGCTACTACGGCCAAGTAGGGGGGGGGTCATCCCGCTTGCACGTCAAATGCGCTGAACGGTCAGGCGCCCCAGGAAACTCTCGAGAGGCGCGGCTGCAATGACAGGTCCCACCATCCCCATGAGACTTAATCTCTCCTAGGCCGTGTCCCCCCAAACCTGGTAGGAAGACGTATAAGTCTCCTCTGCGGCGGTGGTGATCCAAACCTTGAAGGTGTGGGCACGTCGTGCCCCCAATTGGGAAATCAGTTTCGAGTTTCGGTTTCTGCATTCCCCACCCCACTCTCCTTATCAGCTGTTCATTGTACTGCGCCCAAGATTGATGAGGATAGGTGGATGATGATTCTTCCGTTGGCTTCAGCAGGTCCTCTCCCAAGCGGGGGAAGGAAGGCAGGCCTCCCCCCGAGCCCAAAGTCAGACCTACTTTCGGGGAGGCCGGCCTCCAGGGAGAACGCCCAACGGAATACCACCCACTTCCTGGGAGGCCAATGCGAGATCCTGGATACTCGGAGTGTGGAGCCACTAGGTGGTCCCCCAGAGTGTGGCCTCATTTGCGGCCTTCCCGAAGCCACTTAGTGGTCTTCGTTTGGCTTGCTGTCGCTGCGAAACTCGCTTGAGCCGCAATGTTTTCTTTGTGCCTCTGCTGCTGGGCTCGCTTGAGCCGGAGGCTACGGTTGCCTGGCCCTCTCTCTGTCGCGTCGCAAGCTTCCTGCCTCCCCTCTCGCGTCTGCTACTACGGCCAAGTAGGGGGGGGGTCATCCCGCTTGCACGTCAAATGCGCTGAACGGTCAGGCGCCCCAGGAAACTCTCGAGAGGCGCGGCTGCAATGACAGGTCCCACCATCCCCATGAGACTTAATCTCTCCTAGGCCGTGTCCCCCCAAACCTGGTAGGAAGACGTATAAGATCGGAGAGAGCGTGATCCACCGCCGCTTTACTGTGGAAAATTGCCGCCCTTTTCCTCCGGAACCCGGGGGTCCCCCCCCCTCCTCCGAAAATCCCCTCCCCCCCCCTCCCCCGGCAAAACCCCCCCCCTCCCCTCTAACCCCTCCCCCCCCCTCCCCCTCGAAAACCGAGGGGGGTCACTACCGGTTCGAACCCCCCCCCCCCTCGAAAACCGGAGGGGGGGGTCACTACCGGTTCGAACCCCTCCCCACCCCCCCCTCACCGCCAGCAAACGACTCCCGGTCCCTACCACCGTCCTCACCACATCCCCCACTGTTGTTCCCAGCACCACTGTCCTCACCACCACTGTCCCCACTGGTTTTCCACCACCGCCCCTACTGTCCCCACCAGTGCCACCACCACTGTCGCACTGTCCCCACTGTCCCCACCACTGTTCCCACCACGGTTCCACTCTCCCAACTTTCTCCACGGCCCCAACCACTGCCCGACTCCCCACTGTCCCCACTGTCCCACTGACTCCTCCGCTGTCCCACTGAGCTGTCCCACTGTTCCCACCACTGTCCCCACTGTCCCCACCACTGTCCCCACTGTACCTCTGTCCCATTGTCCCACCGCCGTCCTCGCCACCGCCTTCACCACTGTCCCCACCACCACTGTACCCTCCACTGTCCTACTGTTTCCACCACATTCCCACTGTCCCCACACCACTGTCCCCACCACCACCGTCCCCACCACTGTCCCACTGTCCCCACTGTTCCCACCATTGTCCTCACCATTGTCCCCACCACTACCGTCCCCACCACTGTTCCACTGTCCCCACCACTGTCCCGCTGTCCCCTCACCACTGTCCCAACCACCACCGTCCCCACTACTGTCCGCACCCCCCCCGTCGGTTTTCGAGGGGGGGGGGGGGGGTTCGAACCGGTAGTGACCCCCACTTGGTTTTCGAGTTCGTGGGGGGGGGGGTCGACCCGGTGGTGACCCCCCCCCCCTTTTCATGATGAACTGGGAGGGGGGGAAGGGTTCGAACCGGCAGTGACCCCCACCCGGTTTTCCGGAGGGGGGGGGGAGGGGTTCGAACCGGTAGTGACCCCCCCGGTTTTCCGCCAGCAGCGGTAGAACACGCTCTTTCTAAGATCGGGAGGAAGAGCAAAGGAGGCGGAGGGGAGAGGAAGAGGAGTGAATGAATAATGAAGGAGGGGAGGATAATGAAGAGTAATGAAGAGGGGAGGACGAGGAGGAAGAGAGGGAGGAGGAGGAGGAGGAGGAGGAGGAGGAGGAGGAGGAGGAGGAGGAGGAGGAAAGGAGGAGGAGGAGGAGGCTGCGCCAAAGTGCGGCTGCGGCCCAACCCGTCGAAGACCAAGCTGAGTCCTGGCCGGGAGGTGCCGGTGGCCGCGTTGACGGGCCGGTGGGAGGTGGAGCCGCGGGCGCTCGTCCTCTGGCACGGGACCTTCCCGCCGGTGCCCGCGGCCCTGCTGTCGCTCCAGCCGCGGGGAGCATCCTGGCCGAGGGGAGCCCAGAGGTGTCCGCGCTGGCAGAGAAGCGCGCGCGCTTCTTCCTGCGGCTGCGCCAGCTGCAGGCGGCGGGACTCGACCGACAGACTGCCGCGGCGCTGCTCCGACTCAAGACGGGCTCTGACTACACGTTCGTGGCCCGCACTTGTGGCATCCCGGAGGCTGAGGCCCGGGCCATAGACGCAGCGCTAGCGGCGGAGGCGCAGCACGCCCTCGGACTACAACAGCTGAGCAGCACGGCGGGCAAGCAGCTCTTCCTCGCTGGGAAGGATGGCGGCGCTGGGTTCCAGAGCGTGGAGCTGACCGCGCCTGCCGCCCACGCCGCTTCCTGGCACCACAGCGTGCCGCACTACCTGAGCAGGCTGGGACTGACGGGCGCCAGCGCCCTGGCCGCCCTCAGCCCCTGGGCGAGGCGCTGCCTCCCTGCGGCCACGGCCACGCTGCAGCAGGAGGCGCTGGGGGACACTACGGCCCATGTGGGCGACGAAGGACTGGCAGCAACGCAGCACTCACTGGCTACGGCCCCTCTCGCTGCGGCTGCCCGCCTGGTCGCCGACCTCACGGCAGGCGAGGGCCCTCCCGCGGCGGCCGCCTTGCGCTCGGCAGGAGGGCCAGGGGCGAGCGGCTGGCTGCAGGCCCCCACGAAGGCGCGCCACCGCCTGAGCAACTCGCAGTTCAGCGTCGCAATGGGAGCCGGGCTGCACTGGGCTATGCCAGCACCGCCACCCCAATGGCGGGGCTTGTGGCGCGCCGCTCGACCCGAAGGGCAGACACGCGCGGGCCTGCCCGGTCGGCGGCTGGCTCGTCCGCCGGCACGACGCGGGATGCGCAACGCTCGCGGAGTGGTGCGAGGCGCAGGGCTGCTCGGTGCACCGCGAGGTGCTGCTCCCGCACGCCTCTCCGCAGAGCCCCGAGGTGCGCATGGACCTGGTGATCCACGCGCCCGGCGCCGCTGGACCGCTTTTGGTCGACCTCACGATCGTCAGCGCGGTTTCCCAGGACGCCTTGGCGCTCGGGGCTGCGAGGAGGGACGGGGCTGCCGCAGCAGCAGCGGAAAAAAGGAAGCGAGCTCGCTATCCTCTGGTGCCCGTGCTGCCCTTCGTAGTGGAGGACCACGGGCGGCTGGGGGAGGAAGCGGCGGCCCTCGCCAAGAGGCTGGCGCCTGCTGACGACGTGGGGCGTTCGGCGGCCATCCGCGAGCTCCAGCAGGCCCTTGGCTGCGTGCTGCAGCGGCACGCTGCAGACGCGGTGCTGGCCGCCACCCAGGCCAGAGGGCGCCGCGGCGCTAGGCGGAGGAGGGGGAGGCTGAGGGCAGAGGCGGCGCCAAGGCGGCTGGAGGCGGCGGAGGCGGCGCTGGCGCTGCAGGGCGGCGCACCGGGGAGCCAGGCTGCGGCTGGCTCGGCACTGGGCGGCTGCAGGGGGCCTGCGGGGCGGCTGGGCTGCGGGCGCGCGCGGGCAAGGCCGCCGCTGCGAGCTGGAGGAGGCTCGCGGACCAGCAGAGCAGCGAGCGAACGGCGGAGGGGCGCGACGCGCTGAACTGGGGGCTCACCAGACGGCTGGCTACAGGCGCGCGGGCTGCCGCTGGAGGCCGCTGCCCACAGCCATCTCGGGGTCGGCTGCTCCCCATGGCCGTCGACGGGCGGACCCCTGGCTTGCCAGAGGCGTGGGCTCGTCCCCCTGGGGAGAGAAAAAGGTACGGGTCTGTCGGGGTGGTGTCGTGCTTCACCGGCGGCGCCTGGCGGTGGGACCGCACCGGAGGCGCCTGGCGGTGGGACCGCACCGGAGGCGGCGGCGGCGGCGGCGGCTGCTGGGGCGCGCAGGTGGGGCGGACACGCGGTCCGCTGCTGGAGGAGGAGGAAGGGGAGGAGGAGGAGGAGGAGGAGGAGGAGGAGGAGGAGGAGGAGGAGGAGGAGGAGGAGAGGAGGGAGGAGGAGGGGGGAGGAGGCAAGGAGGAGGAGGAGGAGGAGGAGGAGGGGGAGGAGGCAAGGAAGGAGGAGGAGGAGAGGAGGAGGAGGAGGAGGAGGAGGAGGAGGAGGAGGACAGGAGGAGGAGGAGGAGGAGGAGGAAGAGGAGGAGGAGGAGGAGGAGGAGGAGGAGCGAGAGAAGAGCTGGGCCGAAAGCCCCCGCGTGCGACGCGGGTCGCAGCCGAGCCCACCGCCTCCGAAGACTCGGACAGCTGCGACAGCCCGGCGCCGCCTGCCGCTCGGGAGGCCAAAGGGGATCGAAAGCCTCCATGATGAGAGGGCGCGCTGGGGGGGGGGGGCTGGCCTGGGGGGGCCGGGGGGACGAGGGAGGAGGGAGAATCATGGATCATAGAGAAGGGAGGGGGATCATGGATCGAGGATCATGGAGGAGGGGACGGCGGGGAAGGGTCATGGATCATAGGCCATGGAGGCGGGTAATGAGGGGAACGATGGGGAGACTGGCTCAGGGAAAGCGACCATTGCTCTGGAATCTGCAATACATCGCACAGAGATCGGTCACAGGCCATCGATAGCGAAACCCTACGTTTCTGGGCAGGTTGGGGCACCCAAGCCTCGATCGGCGATGAATGAGCGATCGGCGGTCGATGTATCTCCCCCCTACACCCGAGCCAGTCCCTCCTGTCGCCGCCCCTCACAAAATGATGGCTCGAGCTCCGTTTCTGGAGACGATTTTCCTCCAGGGCGCAGGGTTCCGATCCTCTGAAAGGGCAGACCTCGCCGATCATGCTAGAGGAGGAGGAGGAGGAGGAGGAGGAGGAGGAGGAGGAGGAGGAGGAGGAGGAGGAAAAAGTGGGCGACGACAAGAACGACGATGGCCGCATCCGCTGGCGGACGACGACAACGACGATGAACGACGACGGCCATCGACGATGACGGCGACGATGATGAGAATGACGACGAGGACGAAGACGACGACGTCGCCGCCACCGCTCGCCGCTGTCGCAGCTGTCGCCGCTGTCGCTGCCGCCGCTGTCGCCGCTCGCCGCCTCTGTCGTTTGGCCAAAATCCGCTCAGAATCAATCTCTGGACCCCTCCTGGGGTTCATCCTGGCCAATTTCTCGAGCCGCACCTAGGCGTGGCGACGAGAACTTCTAGAAGAGCCCAAGTACCTCAATCAAAGATGAATGTCGCCGTCGCCGTCGACGTCGACGCCGCCGTCGCCGCCGCCGTCGCTCCCGCCGCTGCCGCCGCCCGTCGGCTAGCAGTTCGATAATTTGGATGCTTTGCTGGATCACGTCATCACCCATTTCATTCCCCCCTCCTCTTCGTCGTCGTGACGTGCAGGCTCAAGGACTCAAGGACTTGAAAAACACGACGAAATCGTCGTAACGCTCAGCCGTTGCCGCATAAATCTGTTCTTCTGAATTCCCTGGGCATGGCGGGTTTCCTCAAGCAGAAGCGCAGCAACCAGGACGGACAGGGTGGCACCAGCAAAGTCCGAGGCGCATCAAAAAGTGATTCGCGCGACGATTTCGTGCTACGCTTGCTGGCTGTCACATGGCAATTCACTTTGAATACGTCCTCGAAATCCGTGAACTCCAGGCCGACACTTTCTGCGTCATCCTTATGCCAGTGATGGCTCCAGCAGTGCAGGCCACGAAGTCTGCAACGCAGCAATTTGCCGAAGAGTTCCGCGCCGCCGCCGCGGAGAAAGGAGCAGCGCCGGTCGGCGAGCCCCACGCTCACACATGGACGGCTTGTGTGATGAACGCGGCGACCACCAACGCCTTGGAGAAGCAGCAGATGAAACTCCTCTCGACACACAGACACACACATCTGCTATTGTATGACGGTCCCCGACCACATTCGCCCACACACATCTACGCATGCGAGGTGAAAGAGCGTTCGACAAGAGACACGTGAAAATCTACCTCGCCACCAAATCGTCTCTGGACTGCTTGGCAGTGGCGGACGCCGCCATCGCCCACCTCCTCAAGGGTATACGCCACGCGGGCATCTGCGCGGCTGTGTCTTCACCATCTGGAAATAAAGCATAAGCTGGATGTGTCGCAAGAATCCAACCGGCTTAAAAATCTGCCCAGGGCCCGCAGAGCAGCCGCCCAAGAAAGGTGGCATCCGAATCCCACACGCCCTGTGGGCGTAGGTGGTCTAAGGCGCTTCCTCTTCCAACCCCCTTCTTCCCCTTTCGGAGAAGGGTTTACCCCTCCCCCTGCCCCCTCCCCTGGACTTGGACGCGGGGGGGGGCCCAAAACCCCATAGCTCCACACAAGGCCCCCGTGGCAGCGCCCGCACGCAGTTCCAAGAGCGCCTCGGAAAGCCCAAGACGACCTCCAACATGGCTCAAGATAGCGCAAGATGCTTCAAACTGGCACCCAAGATGTTCCAAGAGGCCCCAAGACCGTCCCAAGACGACTCGAAGTGGCCAAAAAGCTCCCCAAGGACGCCCCGAAGAAGCCAACATCCTTCCAAAACCGATAGGAAATTCATGTTTTCTGCATTCTCGCCTTTACGCTTCCGATGGCAATCCGAGGCCGCAAGATGGCTCCAGGATGGCCCAAGAGGGCCCCAAAAGAGGCTCAAGAGAGCTCCAAAACGGCCCCAAGAGCGCCCAAGAGCGCTCCAAGACGCCTCATGGGGGGCCCAAGAAACGATTCCTGGGGCTCCCGAGGGGGGAGGCTAATTGAAGCTCCATTTGTTATCGATGTTCTCCAATATGGCCCCTAAAACGCCCCTGAAGGCTCCCAAGAGCGCCTAAGGGGGCCCCGAGAGGCGCCCAGGAGGCCCCAAGAGGCGCCCAAAAGGCCTCCAAGAGGCTCCCAAGAGACCCCCAAGCGGACCCTAGAGGCTCCCCGAGGCACCCGAGACGTTCCAAGAGGCCCCCAGGACCGCCAAGAGGCCCCCAAGACGCAAGAGAGGCCCTAGAAAGCCCCAATACGGCCCCAAGAGCGCTCAAGAGTGCCCCAAAAGCGCTCCAAAAGGGACCCTTCATCTGCGTGCTGTCCACTTCCCTGATCGAGGCAACTCCGGTGGGCATCGTCTCTGAAAAGGGCTGGTGGGGTTATATTTTTTTGGGGAGCGGCTCCGAGGCAACGGACAGGGAGCGGAAGCGGCGTCCGGGTCACGGTACGGGGCTAATTTGCAAGACAAGTGGCCGCCAGCCAGAATCGGCGGACAAAGCTAGCTAAGATGCGTGGGGCGCACATGCACTGAGCAAAATGCTCCGCATTAAGGCAAACGCACATAGGCGCTGGCCACACCGAAGTGAAGCAGACAGCAGTGCGAGTGCAACGGAGAAAGTCGCCCTGTCGGCGCCAAGCTCCGAGCAGCTCCCCTAGCCGAGAACGGGCAGGGAGAACCGAAACTACAACGCTGGGGAGGCCCCGGGCCAGAGGGGCAGCAGCCCCCGCGTGCGCCCAGGGCCGGTAGGCCCGGAGGCATCCCTCCCGCAGGCCGCGTTTAGCAGGGCCGCAACGGGCCTGCGGCCAGAAACCCCCCTCCACGCACCAGACCCCCACGAGTGCGATGCCGATGCGAAGTGTGAGCCAGCAGAGTGTGTCTGCGAGAGCCCCATCTATGAAAGGACATCCAAGTATCTCGACAGCCGCTGCACGCCGAGAACATCTGCGCATGAGGGGGGTGCAGCAAACCGTCGCGAGACACGCTCTCTCTCACGGTGAAGGGGGGCGCAGCCAACAGCCGCAGAGACCGCGCTTCCAAACGCACTGGGGGGGCAGCCAACCGCCGCAGAGTACGCACTTTCTTTCGCGCTGAGTGCGCCAGCGGCGGAGGCGCCACCTGGGGGGGCACCTGCGCCTCCGCCCGGGGGGGGGGGGGGGGGGGCGAAGGGCGCATTCCTTTTCGCAGGCCGCGTCTTGCAGGGCAGCAACGGGCCTGCAGCCAGTGACCATCCTCCACGCACCTGCCCCCCGCGTCTGCGATGCCACGAGGGGGGGCAGGAAAGGCTACTGCGGGGAGACGGCCCACCAGTGTTTTTTTGCGCTTCTTGGGGGCCTGGTTGCTCGGGTGGCCCTTTGGCGCGCGGTGATCGCTGCTCACTCCGCCGCTTCGACCTAGGCGCAGCTGCCACAGGCGAGCCCAGTCGACGTCGAGGCCCAGCGCGTCACTGACGACCCGTACGTCGCACTTGTGGCTGCGGAAGGATTCCAAGAAGAGGTGGCAGGTTTGCGGGTCGTGCCGAAGCGGGTCGAGCGCGCCAGGTGCCAGTGAACGTTGGTCCCAGTGTGACTTGGAGTCGTCTCATCGCCTCGCAGGGTGTCTCCCCGGGGAGGTCCCACTCGATGTTGTTGATTTCTGTTTTGTACAGCTGCTGTCCCGTGTAGGGGTCCTTGGGCCCTGGCCACCGGCGCGGGTCAGGCCATTGGTGCTGCCGCGCATCCTGGCCGCAAGTCTCCAGCGCACCGGCCTCGTTGTCCTGGCCGGAGGGCTCGCGATCTGCGCGCGACAGCTCCGGCTGCGCGCCTGGCGGGGTTCTGCGGGGAGAAGCAGGCCGCGCGGTTGGCCGCCGAGCGGGGGTCGGATCGTATCCGGCAGCCAGGGCGGACGCAGCCCTGTGGCACGTGGGGAGAGGCTCCTTTCGCTGGCGTTCGCCTTCGGGCCTGCGCCCGCCGTCGCTCCCAAGTGCGCCCCCTTCGGTCAGCGCAGGACTCTCTCCGGTCTCTGGGGCGCCGTCGGTTGTGCCAGGCGCGCGCGCGCGCGGCGACGCAGCTTCCATTGCCGGAGCACGAGGTTCTTCGCCAGTCGCGCCCTGGACGTCTGGAGAGGGCGCCTGGGGTTCGTCGTCCATTGACAGGGGAAGCGGGGCGAATAGGCGCGAAGGGGTTTCTCCCGACGAGCCAGTGGGTGGCTTCGCTGTCATGCGTCTGGACGGTTGGTCCGTGATTTTCCTGCTGGGTCTGCGGCGCCCCCAGAGGACTGCTGACGGTCTGATTGTTCTAAGGAGGCGGTGGGGGCGGCGCGGTGTGGCAGGCGAGCCCCTGCTGTCCCGGGATCTCGCTTAGCCGACTGTTGCGGCTACCGTCAGCACTTTCGGGGACCACCCCCTGTCCACCCGGTTCTAATCCAGAGACACGAGTAAAAGCTTGTGCCACTTCCGCACCTTCCGAGGCTTCCGTCGCTTCGGGCCCCCGATACTCCGCGGCCTCCGCAGCCTCCGCCGACTCCGCCGTGACCTCCCTCTCCTTGTCTCTGCCCTGCTGCTGCTGCTGCTGCTGCAGCTGCTGAGGGAGCACGGGTACCTCCGCGTCTTCTCGTGGGTTCTTCTTGCGGTCGCTGGGTGGCTCTTGTTGCTGCTGCGGGGGGTGCTGCTGCTGCCGCTGCGGGGCTCTGTTGCTGCTGCTGCAGCTGCCGCTGCTGCTGCGGTGGCTGCTGCGGCTGCTGCCCTGCTGCTGCTGCTGCTGCTGCTGCTGCAGCTGCTGGGTTCTGTTGCTGCTGCTGCTGCTGCTGCTGTTGCTGCTGCTGCTGCTGCTGCTGCGGCTGTTGCTGCTGCTGCTGCCGCTGCTGCTGCTGCTGCTGCTGCTGCCTTGCTGCTGCGGCTGCTGCTGCTGTTGTTGTTGCGGCTGCAGCTGCCGCCGCGGGGGGTCGCCGAGGGCCGCGGCGGCGGCCGCCGCAGATGCTGCGCCAGCGGCCGCGCCGCCGGCGGCCGTGGGGACGGCCGCGGCGGCGCAGGCCGCGGGCACCGCCCCCGCGCTGTCCTTCTGCAGTGGCTGCTGCTGCAGCTGCGGCTGTTGCTGTTGCTGCGGCAGCGGCTGCAGGTGCTGTTGCTGCTGCTGCTGCTGCTGCTGATGCTGTTGCTGCTGTAGCTGCTGCTGTTCGGCGGCCGCCGCCGCGCCACCCTCTTGTCCTCCTCGTCCTTCTCCCGTCTGTCGTGTCGTCCCCTTCGCCCCTGGTTGCTCTTCTCCCATTCAACGCAAAAATATGCCTTGGCTCGCAGCGCCGTCCCCTGATCTCTGGGCCAGTCTCGTTCTGGGCCCCATCCCAAGAGGCCCGCTCGCAGATTGTAGGGGCTTCGTGCCGTAGTTCCACTGGCGCGCGCAGAGCGTGCCGCAACGCTGCTCGAGAACTTATGCTGAGCATATGCCGCGCTCACCTGATTAGGACTTCCTTCTTGCACAGGTGGTCCTCTCCGCTCCGCTCCGCTCCGCTCGCCGCTCGCCGCCACTGTCGTCCAGCCCAAACCCGCTCAGGATCAATCGCTGGACCCCTCCCTGGGCCCATCCTGGCCAGTTTCTCGAGCTGTGCTCGGCCGCGGCGACGAGAACCTCCAGAAGCGCCCAAGCACCTCCATCAACCACGAACGTCGTCGTCGACGCCGTCGTCGCCGCCGCCGCCGTCGCTCTCGCCGCCGCCGCTCGTCAGCTCGCCACCGCCGCCGCCGCGGAAAGCGCCGCCCGCAGCGCGACGCCGCCGTCGCCATCCTCGTCGGCGGCGTCGGCGACGGCGGCGTCGTCGGCGTCCTCGGCGGCGTCGTCGCCGTCGTCGGCGTCGTTGCCCGCGGGCGCCTGTTACGGTGCGGCGCGCGGCGTCCGCCAGCGCCAGGCCGCCCGACCGCGCCGGCCTCGACGGCGCCCCCGTGGCCAGCAGCGGCCCGGCGGCCGCCGGCGGCCCGAGGGCCTCGCGGCCGTCGTCGTCGGCGTCGGCGGCGTCGTCGGCGTCGGCGCTGGCTCGTCGCGGTTGTTTGCGGCGGTCGTCGGCGACGGTCGTCGGCGTTTGCCAGCGGTCGTCGGAAGCGTCGTCGTCGGCGGCGTCGTCGTCAACGTCGTCCGAAGACGTTGTCGTCGCCGTCAACCGTCGAGGATCGGCGGCGTGTGGCCACTCGGCGACGACTCCCTGGATCCTCCTCGGTCCTCCTCCCCGTTCCCGCCTCGTGTCTCAAAGGGATGCCAGCGGCGCGCGCGCCCCGGAGGCTCCAGTTTACGACCTGAGCTGCCACCGCAAGGTGGATATGCCACCATTCTAAGTATGTCGGCTTTCAAGTGTGCTCCAACTTTCTGTTTTCAGGCGTGCCACGCCGTGCACATCAGCGTACGCCCTTGTGCAGTGGAACCCACGAACTACTCACGAATTTAGATCGCAGCTCACGGGGCGCGCCCACCTTATCTTGTTCATATCTGTGGCAATATAACTTGGTGTTGTAAGACCGGACGGGGCCCCTCACACTAACCTTCGGCTGCATGTTCTGCTCAAGCAAGGGGGGGGCACGCAATACGCGAGCAAACCTCTGCTGCCGCTCCCTCTTTCTGCCAGATGACCCGACAACAAGTTTCAATAAATCTACACGAACATGAAAACCAGCTGCCACGCAGACTCGAGAACTGCCGCCAGAGAGAAAGCATGAAAGTACCAGTGCACCTTTGTGAGCTCCACGGGGTCGAGCTGGCCGTCCTGGTTGGCATCGAAACCTAAGGGAAATGCGCAACACAAAACAATCATAATCTCGATACTCCACCGCCATCCCGCCACTTCCCGTCAAATGCAGCTGTTCGGCCAGCGTGAGACCCCCCTGCGCCTCGGGTCTCCCATGTTCCAACCGAACTAGCCCCCTTATCGCTCTCTGACCGCAGACATCAAATGCTGTTTGGAACGGCAACGGCGACCGCTGAACAATCTCCGCGAGGCACAGCCGACGGAACAGGTCCAAAGCTCAACCTCTTCATGTTTCGCAAAAGTACAACTTGCACTCAAGGACTGGTCCTGACAAGCGGGGCTGAGCCGTTCTGACCCCAAGGCAGCCACAGCGCAATCCACCTCGAAACGGGAGCCGCTTCCGCGTAAGCCTCCGCGCAATCACCGCGCAGCCAACCGCGCAACCATCGCGCAACCCACCGCGCAACCCATACTTTGGACGCCCACGCGCCACTGAAAATCCAAATTGGCCAGAAATTGAACTTCAGAGGCCATTCAGACCCCGCCCCTGGGGTGTCGTTAGCGCCGACGTTATGATAGCAAAGTCCTGGGACTTGATTTAGCCGATTCGTTGTGGACACCAGCAACATACATCGAGATGACTAATTCCCGCGCGTGGGCGCGGGGGACTCATTTAGAGGTGCCACTCGAATGGGGAGTAGGAGTATGTTGGCAAACCTTGGAATGATTTCATGATGTCACCGTGCAGAAATCAAGAGCATGAGATCATGATCATAGCGGCGGTAAACTGACAGAGGATGTTTGTTAGCATGACTAAAACAGAATTGCGTTGAACGAGTGACTCGATACTATTACGATTGGAGCCCGCACATAATTAAATTATGGAGCAATTGCAGAACACTAGAACAGATAATGAACATCAAAAATAAGATCGACTCCCCCTCCTCCTCCTCCTGCTCCTCCTCCTCCGACCGGCCTTGAATTGCAAACCCAAGGACGTTGAGATCCTGTGGCGCTCGTATAGAGCAGCGCGCGCTCGGATATCGCACCCGGGCCGCTCCGCACGCTATCTTTCCACCCACGTCGGGAAACAACTAGTTCCAGCGCCCCCGAAGTAGGAGCAGGAGTATGATATGATATAGTTAAGCACGAGGTGCCGAAGTGCAAGCAGAGTGAACGGAGAACGTGCTAAGTACCCATCGGAAGCCGATTGGGATCCTATTGTAACCCGATTTGCATGTTACGGCGATCTGATTGGCATCCTATTGGCATCATACTGGGGTCCAGTTGGGATCCGTTCGGGAACCAACTCGAATTCAATTGGAATCCGATTGGGAACGTGTTGGTGGGATAACTTGGGATCCTATGGGGATCTTATCGTTATCCGATTTGACTCTGACTGGGGTCCTATTGGAATCCTTTTGTGCTCCAAGTCTAATCACATGGGCTTATGATTGCCATCTTCTTGGATTCCAAATAGTGGGATTTCTTCGGATCCAAATAGAATCCTACCAACATCATCAGGATCATATTGGGATCATGCTGTGATCCGTTTGGAATTCTATCGAGATCCAATCAGGACCCTACTAGATCGGAGTCCAACTGGCAGCCTATTGGGATCATACAAGGATCTCTTTGGGATCCTATTCGAATGCGACTGGAATCCAATTAGGATCCTACTGAGATCCTGATGGGATCCAATTGGGATCCAATCGGATCCGTATTCGCATCCCATTGAGATCCTATTGAGATCTTACTGAGGTCTTACTACGATCCTGTTTGAGTCCTATTGGGATCTTTCCTTTTGGAATCCTGGTGGAATGCATTTCTTAAGATCCGATTTGAATATGATTGGGATCCTAATGGGATGCGCTTGAGAGATGGGTGGGATTATCTTGGAATCCACTTGGTAAATTGGATTCCTACGGCCATCTTTTTGGTATCATATTGGGATCCTGTTGGGCTTAACTTGGCATCCAACTGGGATCCTATTGGGATCCCGTTCGGATCCTACCCAAACCGCTCGGTGCCAGGGCAACACGCCCAGGGTGCAAGATGCGTTACATTTCCACCGGATGAGGGCGGTCCTTAATTCTTTCCCCAAGGTTAGAAAAGACCACTGCTCGCCGCGTTGAGGTGAGTGCGGGACAGGCTCAACAGGTCGTAAATGAAGCAGGCCCGGCCGAATCCCACGTACGTGCTCTCGGGAGCGAACCAGAACGCCGGCAAAGGGAGTGGGGCTGGGCACCCGCATATAAACGCACGGGGCTCCACACGCATTCTGCTTTAGGGGCGCTGCTCCGAGCTCACACACTCGAGAAGTCGACACGAGACGTGGCCCTCAAGACGATGATTAGCAACTCCAGTATGTCTGCTACTCGGGCCGAGGCAAGGCGCGGATTTCCAGAGCGCCCCAAGAAGAGCGGCCTGGGCATGTCAGACGGTCTCTGTAGGCCGTTGCTCTGGAACTCTCCACGGAGGCCTCCCCGCCGAGGTCCCCGGGAGGCCTCTGGATTTCCAGAGGCCCAACACGGGCAAAAGACGCTCGTAAACCTTGGCCCCAGGAACTGGAAGCCTCGTGCGCAAAAGTGCAGCGGAAATAGAAACCATCACGCCGAGAAGAGTCGGCACGAGCCATGCTTAGTGTCGGCGCCCAGGAGTCTGGGAACTGCGTCAGGGTGCTCACGTAGTCCAGCCCCTCCTTCTCCTTGTCCTCGTCCTCCTCGTCCCCCGACGTTTCTTCCTCCTCCTCCTCCTCCTCCTCCTCCTGCTCCTCCCCCCTTGCTCCTCCTGATCCTCCTGCTCCTTCTCCTCGCTCTCCTCCACCTCCTCGTTCTCCTCCTCGTGCTTCTCCTCTTCCTCTTCCTCCTCCTCCTCCTCCTCCTCCTCTTCCTCCTCCTTATCCTCCTCCTCTTCCTCCTCCTCCTCCCCCGATAACCTTCTTGCTCTTCTTGCTCATGTTGCTCATATTGTTCCTCTTGCTCCTCCTCCTCCTCCTCATCCTCCTCCTCCGCTGCACCTGGGGTGCTCTGTTGTGCAGCATCTTGGATTCCATAACGCATGATGTGTTGCGCTTCGCTGGCCATCGCAACGCTGCTTCCCAACATGAGGGAAATCGTTCGAACTTGTCCTCCTCTCTCCTCCGCCTCCGCCTTCTTTTCTCTCCTCCGCCTCCGCCTCCGCCTCCGCCTTCGCCTCCGCCTCCGCCTCCGCCTCATTTTCCTCCTCCTCCTCCTCCTCCTCCTCCTCCTCCTCGTCCTCCTCCCTCCTCCCACAAGATCGAAATCTCAAAAATTAAGGCTCGACCTCCATTCTGGATGCCGTTTCCCTCTATTCTGGGCACTCTTCCCCTCCAGAACGGAGGTTCCACCTCCGAGGCCTTCGATGTTCTGGGCCCCGCTGGGCATTGGCATCCACGCCCAGGAGCCCGAGAACTCAGTCAGGGTGGACGCGTAGTCCTGAAGGACAAACATACGAGAACGGCGCCCATGCACCGTACAATGTTTGGACTCCTTATGGGCCCAGCCTTGACGCAGTACGGTGCATAGTTCTTCGGCTCCGGGACCGAACAACTATCTGTTCAACGTACGATGCCTGGGTCGAGGATCGACGTCAACGCGATACGGTGCACACAAGTCGTCCGCGGAACACAGATTGACGATGGGTCCGCTCCCCAGACCTCTCTGAGGGGCGACCTGCCCCTCCCCCCGCGCCCCCCCGAAACCGCGCACCAGAGGCCACTCTTGCCCAAGGCCGCTCATGCGTGTAGCCGACGCTCGCCAGGGCGGACGAGAGGTGGGGATTGGGAAAGGGATGATACGACATCTGCTGCGTGCAGCTGGCTTCAGCTCCACCGCCGGGCGCCTTTCCTCGGTGCACTGGCGCCGCTGCAGCGTGCGCTGACTTGCCTCCCACCCCCCTGCATGCCCCCTCACCCCTTGCGTCCAGCCCGAGTCTGGCGGCCCGCCACAGGGGGCAGGGCGATGGGTGCGGCCTTCCAAGAGGACACCTCGCCTTTCCGAAGCCAGGATCCCGAAGCAAGTCCAGCCGTGGCGACGAGGGCCCCCCAGGAGGCCCAAAACGGGAAAATGAAGGAAGGGCAGCAGTATCGATGCGGCAGGTTCATGTCGTGACGACTTGCGCATTGGTTTCCGACGACCACATGGATCGTTCAATCTTGAACGTTATCGGCTTCGAGAACAGCGCTGGTCGTTCGATGTCATCGGCCCATCCTGGACCACTGGCGGCGTTCAACCTTGAACTCCTGTGGTGGGGTCGCCGCCGAATCGACACGACGCGAACCTACCGTACAGAAAAGCTTGAAGAAGTGGAAGTTGTAGGCAACCACGTGTGAACCATACCCCTGCAAGGTAACATTTCTGAAAAACTGGCTCGTGTTCAGGATTCGAAATATGTCTGCAACCACATTGACCCAACGGGGGCGTACGCTACCCCAGCGTCACTTGGATCCGTAGGGGTAGGGTTCGCAAGCGGTCGCAAAAGTTGGAAATTCCGTGGAGGCGGAACTGGCCAGAAACTGAACAAGGGCTGAAGAGGGGAAGTGGCCAAGGCTGGAGCGGGTGGAACCCACACGTCAATTTTTTCAATACTGATGTCCCCTGAACTCTGGGCAACCTCTTGGAAACCCATGTATCGTCGTATCTTGTTTTGTTACGGTGCCCGGGACCCTGCGAAGGCCGCCGAGGACGAACAAATTCCGTCTTGATTTGTTCAATACGTTGGAGGTCAAGGGAGGGCTGGCCCCAGCCAACTGCTCCAGTTTCTCTGTGCCTTTTTTCCCCCGCGTTCCAGGCCCTTCGCTTTCGCGAACGAGGCGATCTCGTCGAACGTCACTCGGCCGTCACTGTTGCGGTCCAGCGTCTTCAAGGCCTCCGCCGACTCCGGGCCGCGGGCCCTGCGGTTTAGGTGGGGTGGGGGAGGGGGAGGAGGAGGAGGAGGAGTAGGAGGAGGAGGAGAAAGAGGAGGAGGAGGAGGAGGAGGAGGGAGAAAGAGGAGGAGGAGGAGGAGGACCACTGCAAACCCAAGAGTCGTAAACTATATTGCAACAAACCGTCCTTCCAAGTGCCCCTTCATGGGCCCCATACAAAATTTGATTTTCACTGAAGGAAGCGCCCCGTTGGAAAACGACCGACTGAAAATCCTGAACCGCTCCAGAACATCATTCCTGGGACCGCGACGCCGCGAATCAACGTTACGAGTGCGTTTTGACGATCGTGAATCGTGCCAGAAAGACCTTGCTGAGACTTCAACACCGCGAATAAACGTAACTGTTGCGCCCTGACAGTTCAACACCGTGATGGAAGACTATGCCTGGGACGTTAACCTTAAGAAACTTTGATCCACTTGTAAGTTCTCAAGACGATGTGCGCGGCGCTAACGCGAAAACCGCATTTTGAAAATGATTTGCCCTCCACCCGTGAATCTTCGCAGGGGCTAGATAGGATCGCGCATGAGGCCAACGCGGAGACAAGGCTGAGAGAATGCGATGGCCAGGGGACGATGCAGGGACAAGGGGCGAAGGAATGGAGAGACGGAGTGTGCGCACGAAGTGTGTGCGTTTGGAGATGGGGTGGACCATTGGAACCAACTGCCAGCCCCATGCGGGCCTGTGGCAGCGAGGAGGAAGGCAAGTCCTGATAATCACAGGCCCCGTGCGGGACCTGCGCAGGGACGTTCCCCCCCCCCCACGTGCACGTATGAAAGAACACGCGTGTAGGGGAACATCCGCACCTTACCTGTGATGCGGGAGTCCTGCTTCAGGCTGCCGTTCTAAAGGGGGCCGCAGCGCGATGCGTCACGTTGCATGCTGCAAGGCCCCAGCCGGCAACCAGCCTGGCATCAGACCACGCCGCTGCGTGGTCAATTAACTAATGGTGCCGTGGTGTACGATGCCCCCCAGGACAGTAAGTATCTGGAACGTGACATGGGATACCGGCCCGCGCGTCGCACCACATACGCCGCGCATGGCTCGAACACATCTTATAACTAAACTGGGCGGGCGGACCCAGGGAAAGGTTCGCCAAGGATCGAGTCAGCGGCTACGGACAGCGACAACGGTGGTGACGATGACAATGTTGCCGAAAATGATGAGGTCTCTGTCCGGGAACAGGGGTTCAAAAATTCCGTTCCCCAGAGGGGGGGGCATCTTGTTAACCCCTCCCGGCCGCGTGGCCGATAGTCGGCCAGTCGATGAGAGCACGCGCTACGACGGAGGGGCAAGATTTGCCCGCCGCGCGCGCAACAAACTGGAAAATGGCCCGACACTGATGCTTCGCCTCCTGACCGATGAAAGTTCCGCATTCCTGCGATATCCCCGCCGTGCGATGATCATACTGACAGGCGCAGACCCCCTTTGACTGACTGGGCGGCAATGGCGTTCTGTCGCGGGACTCTCTGGCGCGCGAGCGACAGAAGAAATAGCGATGAAAAGGTTCACCGTCGAATTGACGGGGCACTCCCCTGGTCGAAACGAGACCCGCCGACGCACCGAAGCCAAGGGTCACGCACCAACGCCAGCGAAGAGGCAACGGCAGCAAGGGGGCGTGCAGGGGGCACCGCCACGGGGGGTGGGGTGGGGCAGGAGAAAACGAGGGCCCAACAGCCTACCAGCGCACCCACCTTCGGGAAGGGCCAGCGCGAAGTCCACGCACTCCGAAAGAACACCTGCAGCGCGGCAAGCGCGCTTGCAGGGGGGGCGCCAGGACTTCCATGAGAACCTACGCCGCGTGGGCGAGCGCCTTCAAGGGGCCCAAATCATTGATTCTTCAACTTGGGTTTTGAAGGATTTGGGCGTTCTCACCTGTTCGGCTTCCCGACGCTCCAGGACGGCCCAAGAGGCCCCCAAGATCGCCCCAAGAGGGCCCCAGAGGCCCCCCAGAGGCCCCAGAGACGGCCCAAGAAGCGCTCAAGACGGCCCAAAGACGGCTCCAAGAGGGGGCCAAGATAGGGAACCCGAATGGTCATTTCGAGCCCTCGGCCCCGAAGGGTTCGCAGGAGGCCTCAAGAGGCCTCCAAGAGGCCCCAATAAGCCCCAAAGAGACGCCCAAGAGGCCCCCGAGAGGCACCGAACTGTCCCACAACTTCCCCCAAGAGGCCCCGAGCACGCTCCGAAGAGACCCCAAGAAGCATCCCTGAGAACTCTGACCCACACCCCAGGCACGGTGGCTGGATGGGCCGAGGGCCGTCAGGATGAGACACGATATTCGATACAAGTCAATCGATAACTGCCTGGTCTTCCTCGCCCGCGAAGGTGAAGGCGCTCGTGGGCGCGAGCCCCCCACCCCCCGCCAGCAGAGCCAGCAGAACCACGGCGACAGGCGCGACAGTAGACAGCTCTCCGCCGCACCCCTGCCATGCGAGCAACTCGCGACGAGCGGCTTCGCGGGGAAGATCAGCAGGTGGAAGTCGCCGAACTGCAGACATCAGAAACCGCTGAGACTCGCATTGTCCAGCTCGTTTCGCCCCCCAGGGCGAAACCGTTGTCCACTCCGTCGCGAGGGTCGCTCCGAGCTTTGAATCGAACCATTGCAGACGGCGATAGCGCCATCACGAGCCTCAGCACGCTGCCGTCCACGGCGCCCGCGAGGACGCGATCCTGGAGTGGTCCGAAGAACATTCGGAACAAAAGGACGAAATAGAAAATCGCCCTCACGCGAAGGTCCCACGGTTGAATTGCTAGACGCCTGGGCGTCTGGGGGCGCGATGAAACCTGCACCTTGCTGGGTGCGGCTTGAACGACATCCAAAGCCGCTCACTATCCATCGTTAATGCTAGTTTCCTTTGTGGCCGCCGAGCGTTCCTCGCGGGCCCTACGGAGCTGTCATGATGGATGCATCCTTTGTTCCACTTCGCGACTGGCGTAGCCCAACAGTTCTGGGCAGATCATCAGCTCGCCTGTCTCCCGATGCAGTCCTGTACAGAACCGAGCCTCGTCAAAACCAACATAACCTGCTTTATTGCCTGTTCATTTGCCGTGCTGCGCATTGCCGCCTGCGTCCCGATCGAGATGGCCGTGGGCGTGCTCGACCAGCCGCGTCTGGCGCGAGACGTCCTCCGCCGCGACTACGCTCGGGAAGTCTAGGCCATCGAAACAGCCCGCAAGCTCGACCACTCGCATCGCCAGCTCGTGCATGTCGACACCCAAGTCGCCGCGCTACAGGCCGAAGGAGGTCTTGAAGGCCCGATGATGGTCCATCGGTCCCCCCCTCGTCAGTTGATGAAACGGCAGCATCACGGGGAGGTCCTCGGACCAGGGACCAGGGATCATCCAATCAGGAATCGTCGCTCCAATGAGTAGCTTCACCACGTCTCTCCACGGACGCGGAACCCGCGAACCTGCGGCGTCTAGGAACTCCAGACCCAGGATCCGAGCATAGTCCGCCGCCGAGAGTGCCACGTACCTGGGAACACCCGTCGCCACCGCGTCTCGCACTGGCACCTGGTTCCTTTCCGCGTCAATGAGGATACCGATGCCCCCTACGACACCGTCTCTTTGTCCCCGAGATTGCCTGACCTCGCTTGTAGTCGCCGTGCGTACTACCACACCGCAGCCAGTTGCCTGCAGCCTGTGGGCCTGCCACTGGCGCAGGCACTGCCACCATGAGGCCGAGAGCAAGCCATCCCGCTCCAGCCGCTGGCGCTCGACCTGCAGCTCGCTCCGTCTCCGAGTGCATACTTGTCACGAGCAGCCTGTTCAGCCAACCCATGCATGTTCGCCGTCGAGACGTACACACCTCGCCGAAATCGATAGCATTGATTCCGATCCAGGCCAGGAGGGGGCGGCCGATGCTGGGAAGTTTGCCTCACGGTGGCCACATTCACGGAGTCGTCCGAGAAATTCTCGTGAAATAGGTCACCATCTGGCTTGAGGATCACGATCCACAGGAGACTATTCAAAACCAATGTCGAAAGCATCACCGCCCCAAGGCACCTGCGTTGATGCCACAACGGCGCCCCGGACACAGGACCCATGCCCAAGGCTTTACCGCGGCGAAACGAAGCGGCACGCTCGAACTTAAAAGGCGGTGGCCAAGCTCCAGCCCTATCTACCATGGCTGCAGCCAACGAACCCCAAGCCGACGACGAGCTCAGCGATCGTGACCACGACGAGAACCCACGAGCTCCACCCGCTCTCCGCCGACGGAGGGATCGTGGGGGACGAGTCCGGCATGGGCGGCGTCCCTGGACACGCAGGACACGCACGGTTAGTCGGGCACCTACAGGCCTCGGAAAAAAAAACAGCGAACACTCGTGCCACATTCATCTGTCAACGCCTCCCCCTCCCCCCAATGTTCAAAGTTGGGGGTGGGTCTGACGAGTTGCACCTCGACCGCAGTCTCCCCCGCGCGTTCCAACTTTAAGTTTGGGGGGCAGGGGAGGGTGTTCACTAATTGTTTCCCTCTACCGTAGGAGGGGTTGCTGGCGGCACCGGCCGCACGGCGGAATAACATCCCCAGGGATGTCGAGACAACCGCAGAGATCAGAGCAGAGGTGGATGTGGCGGCAAGGGCGGAGCAAGTCCTCCCGAGCTTGAGCACACATGTCGGGCGGTCCTTCCCCGCTCACCCGCACAAGAGAGGTGAGGCAAGCATCCCAAATACACCGACCTCAGCCAGGCCCATCCTGGGCCCAGGATCTGTGCGCACGCCCTCTGGGCCTGGCCAGCACCGATCCTGGGCCCACCAAGATGGGCCCAGCCAGGGCCGGTGCACACGTGGCCGACACCAGAAAACCCTGGATCCCAAAATGTGGACGTCTCACGTTTATTTCCGCCGCCTTCCGCCAGCGGACCCACCACCTTGGGCCTCAGAGGGCCTTCAGCCAAGGGCGAGGATGCGCCAAAGGCGAGGCCCTCTCTGGAACGCCCCACCATCGACGGTCGGAAGCTTGTGCCTGGCCCGGCGGCGGCCGCAGCGACACGCCGTGCCGTGCGTGCGGATAACGTGTCCCTCCGCTCCGCAAGGCGGGGGGCCGGGAGAGGCCCGGCACGTTGACGCTCGGGGACCGCAGCGTGGCTAGCGTGTCGCACCGAAGCGCCCGGCGACACGCTACGCAGAGTTCCTGGCTGTGTAGCCCTCGCCGCCCGAGAGTCGACCACGCGCAAGAGTGACCCTGGGTAAGGGTGACCTTTTTTCGTGCGCGGCTTGTCCGGGGGCCTCGGGGGGGGGGGGGGGGGGGGGGGGCCAAACACGAGCGCGCAAGACGCCCCTGCCGCCTCGTGTTCGGCGATCGGGGGGCCTGAGTGGGCCCGCACCAAAGGTCACTCCGGCGAAGGGCCACTCTTGCGTGTAGTCGAGGTACGGCCAGGGCCGTCACGTCCCAACCGGCCCGTGCCGGGCCTGAGGGCGGACAGGGCGCCCAGGGCGCCCGCGAGCCTGGGCAGCAGAGCGCAGGCGAGCAGAGAGCGCATGGCCAGCGCGAGAAGAAGCACCACGGCGGGCCGCCGTGGGCGGAGGCTCCCAGACCTCCGAGGGATCGAGGACCGAGGCCAGAGGATCGAGATCTGTCGGCGCCTCTCGCCAATCTCGGGCCTCCTGGAGCGCCCTCGTCACCGCGGCTGGGTTGCCCTCGAAGTTGTGTCAGAATGCCCTCCAGGAGAGTTCCGAGGGACGGTTTGTGGACCCTGGCGCCGATATCTCCCACCCTGTCTCGGTGACTTCTCGGTTCCCCTCCTCTTTCCCTGCCGAAGATAATTACAAGCGAAATCGTTCCAGTGCGGACCCCAAATGGTGAATTAGTGTGGTCGTTGCGGTGCAAGGTAAGCATTGTGAAGCAATGCAGCGGAATCAAAAGCTATGCAAATCGTAGCGTATGGCACAACCCAAGGCCACCAAAAACCGCGCCAGCACAAGGAACTCCTCTGGGGTAATCCATGGCACAACCTATGGCGCAACCCATGGCTACCAAGAGTTCGCGCCAGCGCAAGGGACTCCCATGAGTGAGATTCATAGCGCAGACCATGGCGCAACTTTTGGTCACAAGAACCCGCGCCGATTCAAACCAACGGCACGTCAAAGGCCCAACAAGAAGTCTGAAGTGCAAGCGCTGCGTAGGGAACATGCGATGTCAAATTGCCCGTGGATTCCTCGAGCGGATTGCAGAGAATTCATCCGGCCCTTCTCCAGCAGGTGTGGCCCTCCGCCTTGGTGTTTCCGCGGATATGGAGACGCGCCCTCGCCCGAGGGAGCGTGTACGATAAGCAGGGTGACAAGCCCTTGAGCCGTTCACAGCAGCGCCCCCCGTCTCTCTCCTCCTCCTCTGTTCGTCCTGTCCCCTGTGCGACACCCGCCACGGCACACACGGCTTGCAACGCTGAGATCTGCAACCTGCAGGGTTCTGATCGTTCACGACTCGATCTGCAGGCCTCGATCCGCTCAGCATCTACCGAAGAATAGGACGGGGTGCTTATCCCTTGCGTCGTCAGGAACTGGAGCGTGAAGGCTCGATCCGTGCAGTGGTGCGCAATCTTTCTTAGCTTCATGGCGGTTTCGTACACGTCGTTCATTTCTAATCGTGCTCATTTCTAATTGTGCTCGTTTCTAATTGTTCATGGCCCCCTAATGGTCAGGAACAGGCCCAGGATAGAACAATTATAAGTGAAAGGATCTTGGCCCCCCAAGAAATCAAAGCATCTTCGAATAATAAGAAATGAACAATGTGTATGCACATGTTCTTAAGCAACCTTGGTGTTGACATAGCGGTGCGCTCACCATCCGCAGTTGATGGAGGCGTAACTCGGAGTAAATTAGCTGGCCAGACAGACCCCACCACTTCATCATTGAAAAAGCAATCGTGGCTCGGGTCTCCTCCTTGCCCTTTGATTTCGGCTGCGAGATCCGCGGCTCCTGGCGCATAAACACATCACGCGTGTATCGGCGCCTTGATGCCAACACCCGCCACCGTGACCCCTGGCACGTTGAGGCGTGGTAGAATGGCAAGTGCTGCCTGGCAGAATTTCTACAATTCTTCAACAACCCCACCCCTCGCCTCGCCTTGCTGCGTGCATCCACTCTCCCGTAAAACCGTGGACGACCCGACGTCTTCCTGGGACAAGGCCACAAAGGCCGCTAAGATGGCCCAGTACTGCCCCAACAGGCACTTAATGCTAGGAGGCCCCCCATGGCGGCCCAAATCACCCAACAACCTTGAGAAATCACTTGCGTTCTAATGGTTTGCGTGTCCTGAGCTTTCGGCTCAAAACCGCTCCAATATGGCCTCGGAGGAGCCAAAGGGAGGCCAAACCGGCCCAACGAGAGCATCCAGAAGCCCCCGCAGACGGCGCTGGGGAGTCCCCACAGGGCTCCAAGACCCAAAATGCTCTGAAGAAGCTTCCAAGATAACCCCAAAAGGCTCCCGCGCTAGCGAGCGCAGGCTCGCGCATAACGGCCAGTTAGTCTGGCACGACAGACGCGGCAGCGGTGGCGCTGACCGCTGGGGACTTCCCACCGCGCCTCGCAAGCCGCGCTGACGCGCGGGCACTGCAGTGCTGTCGGTGACTCGGGCGGGCGCGGTATCATGGCGACGTCGACAGCGACAAACGCGATGATGATTGTAGCGGTGCTGATAACGATGATGACAGTGACGATGGCAAGGCCAATGACGATGGCAAGACCAAGCAGATGACGATGATGGCGTCCACGTTTGGGTGATAAAGGTCGCGAGCGGATTTCAACATGCGCGCGCGCGGCCGACGGGCGCGAGTGGTCCCGCACTGCATCACTTGATCGAGATCTTGCCCCCCAAGCGCGCGCGCAAGGGTGCTCGAATCATGTCGGCATGCGCGCGCGAGAGGCACGCCACGTAGAATTCAGTGGACAGATTTTAAGCCTGATGGTGTTCATTAGCGTTCGCAAGAGCGCGTGCTGATTTTTTGAAAGTTCACGTTGCAAAACCATCGCTTAAATCTGTTTTCGGTGCAGTCGATTCTAGCATGCGCGCGCGACGACGTGCACGTGTGCAGTCGCCCCATGCTTTGCAAAACAACTATGCAAATTAATTATGTCGCTAAACGAATGCGCTCGCGTAGCATTTGTTGCAAAGGATGAGCGGGGGGTCGATACCGGCCGGGCTGGGATGGTAAACGAGCCATGAGGCGGCATCATGTGTACACTGCACACCCCCACGGGGAGCAGAAAAAAAGGGGTAGATCCGAAGTCATTCTTGCGGGAAAATAATAATCTCCGTTCCAAAGGACGCGCAGCGACGAGGCGGCGACGGGGCGGCGACGGCGACAACAAGCCGCCAGGCCGCCAGCTAGGCCCAGACGACGGGCGGCGACGAGGAGGCGACGGCGACAACATGGCCGCCAGACCGCCAACCAGGCCCAGGAGACGAGAGGCGACGAGGCGGCGACGGCGACGACATAGCCGCCAGAACGCCAGCCAGGCCCAGACGACGGGTGGTGACGAGGCGGCGATGGCGATAGCATGGCCGCCAGACCGCCAGCCAGGCTCAGACGACGGGTGGGGACGGGGCGGCGATGGCGACAACATAGCCGTCAGACCGCCAGCCAGGCCCAGTTCCTTAGAAATGAAATAAGAAACGCTAAGTGCACACACGGATTGGGGAATGTGAAGAGAAAAGGGAGAGAGAGAGAGAGAGAGGGGGGAGAGAGAGAGAGAGAGAGAGAGAGAGAGAGAGAGAGAGATGGAAACAAAAACATGAGAGAGTGAGAGAAGGGGAGAGAGACATATAATTGCGCACGCGCACCCGCCACATCACACTACGTGCAAGGACGCGCGAGTTTACACGTGTGCGTGCGAACTGCAGATGCCTATGCGTTGCAATACAATCAGGGGAACTCACAGAAACAATACTTTCGCAATGCAGCCATGGAATCACCCAGAGACTTCTGACAATCTACGCGAGAATCTCACCACTAAGCCAAACCAGAGAAGCACTTTTTGCAAGGACCGATCACAAAGATGCTGAAGACACAATGGCGTTGAAAACGAAGCATGAAACGAAACCCAGCGTTTTAAACGAACACTTGAAACGAGCCTGGCACCAAACGAAACGAACGAGGAACTTATACATCTCAACAAAAAACGAACAACGAAACGACGCAGAAACGAATAACGAAACGAAGCTCAACACGCAGGCCCAAACAAAGCTAAACTGCGTCGTGGTCAGTCCTTGACCTTGTGCTGCCCAGCCGAGCAAGCTCAAGTTATTCGCCTAGGCTCCTGCCACATGTCGAACCCACTGTGGCTTCAAGTTAAATCTAGCCGTTTACCGAGGCCAAGCAACAAGTTTGAGCTATTCGTAGTCGGGGGTACTGGTCACCGCTAAGATGAGAAGATACGTACCGATACTGTAGTTCGGTCCTACGCTGCTCAGACAGGAACACGCGCCACCTATAATTATAGTCGGGCACACCATCTCCCCAAACCATTCGACAATACCTATACCATAATCACAGTGGCAAGAGCGACCCCAGACTGCAGCGAACAGCTGTGCCCTTTTATCATCGCTAGGTGGTGGGTCCACCTGAAGAGCAGGATACGGAGGAGGAGGATGAGGGGAGAAGGAGGAGGAGAAGGGGGGGGAGGGAGCAGGGAAGATGATGACGAGGACAGAGGGGGAGGAGCAGAAGCAGCAGGAATAGCAAGGAGGAGGATGAGGGAGAAGAGGAGGGGGAGGAGGAGGAGCAGGCGGACGGAGGAGGAGGAGGAAGAGGAGGAGGAGGAGGAGAAGCAGCAGAGAGTCCTTAGCCATTTTTGGCGCAAGCGGCTTGGCCTTGTCGAGGCCCCATGTTTCTGCCCCCCCTGCCTCTCCGCAGGTATCTTTTGCATCTCGTGCAAAAGGATCAGTTTCTTCTTCTTTGCCAGCTCCACAATGAGCTCCTGCGTATGTTGTCCAGTCAAGCAGGCATGCACTTCCTCGGGCTTCAGCAGGCAGCTCGTTGGCATCGGAGAGAGGGCCGTTTGAACAACACGTTGACGAAGAAAATAAGCAAGTTAGATGTTGCCTACACCGTCATGCGCCACATCACCAGCCCTGGGGCAAACCAATTCCGCGAGCTCGTCGCCAGCTTCTTGGGAGAAGGCCCGTGTGGGCCCGCAATTCCTGAGCAGCACCAAGGACCAGATGTCGCGAACCATACCCTGCTATTTGAGATTTCGTCGGACAGTGGGGACCCGCAGGACGAAAGGACAGAGTCAAATGCTTTGGAGAACGACACTTGACCAGTTTCAGTCACGGAAAGGCTGGACGATCACAAGAGTATGTTACTGGAGCTGAGAGCAAATGTTTTAAATCTGTCCCGCGTGGAGACGCACGGCAGTGTGGACTATGCCGTGCAGAAGCAGAAGACCGCTCAGTATATGCACCAGTCAGAGTTACCTTCCCCTGGTCTGATAAAGTGCGTCGGCGCGAATGTCGAGCACCACAATGAGAATCCGTTTGAGG